AGACCAGCAAGGTTTAATATGGTAGTCACTTAGCAACATTGAAATGTGCCTAGTCCCAAATAAGATATGCTGTAAATATAAAATACACATGGAGTTTCAGAGACAGTATAAAATAAGGCCTATAAACTATTATATTAGTAATCTTACTTTATTTTTTTGAGGCAGGGTCTCACTCTATTACCCAGGCTGGAGTGCAGTGCCATAATTTTGGCTCACTGCAGCCTCAACCTCCCAGGCTCAAGTGATCCTCCCGCCTCAGCCTCCTGAGTAGCTGACACTACAGGCATGTGTCATCTTATCTGGCTTTTTATTTTTTTGTAGAGATGGGCTCTCACTCTGTGGCCTAGGTTGGTCTCGAACTCCCAGTCTCAAGGGATCCTCCCACCTCAGCCTCCCAAAGTGCTGAGATTACAGGTGTGAGCACCATACCTGGCCTCATATTAGTAAATTTATGTTAATTATGTGTTGAAATGAGAATATTTTAGATAAATTGGATTAAACTATAGTTAATTTCACCTGTGTCCTTTCATTTTATTGTGGCTACTAGAAAATTTTAAATTACTTATGTGTATATATATATAAAATTACATATGTATATATGTATATAAAATTACATACACATATGGCTCATCTTCTAGTTCAATTGGATAGTGCTACTTTGGACTGCAGAGACAAAGCAACACTTGCAGCCAATCCCACACGAGTTAAGGCTCTGTCCCACTAGCTGGAAGGCAAGGGATTGTACTATACCACCTCTTTGGGTGGCTTTCTGTTGAAGGACTCTCCTTTTCTACATGCTATTCTTCATTTCTAATTAAATTTGCTAAATTCCCATGGCTATGTGTGTGAATGAGTATGAGAGTGTTGGTGTTTTGGTGTGTCCAAATGCACACTTGCGTGCGGGAAGTCTTAACGAAACACTAACGTGGAATTATGTGTTTTCCCCAGTGAAAAAGAAGAGAACTCTGATAGGTAGGAAACCTCAATGTGATCTGCTATCTCCTACTCACTTTCTAAAACAGACGGTGCCAACCACAGGCAGTTGGGCCAACTCTGTCATCCAGAGGTTCTAGAACAGAGACACTGAGGAGAAGTGGGGCAGGAGTCTCTTAGTAAAACCTAGGTATCCGTTTTCCAAAGATAACTAAAAAGTTGGTGGGTGGGGAACCAAGCCTGGAGGTGGTAACGCAGGGCTTTTCACAGTCCATTTAAACCAATCTGAATCACAGAAATTTTTATCTAAAAATTAAAGCGGTTACTCGCACTAATGCAACCACTTTTGGTAAATAAAGTATTGCTATTCGTGTCAACTGGCCTGGCCTGCTCTTGTGAGTCACCAGGGCCTGCTTTTTGGTGGTAACTGTTTACAAACAAATGAATCATGAGAAGACCTTGCTGACCAAAGTGTGGTCCTGGACCAGCAGAGCAGTCACACCTGGAAGCTTGTTAGGCAAATTCATGGATCCTACCCCAAACACAACTTAAAACAACAAAACAAACAAAACCCTTGTTAAAATGCAATGAGAATCTGCATTTTAACAAGAAGATGCTCATGTGATTCATTTACCCATGTAACTTTGAGAAGTACCTGAAGTTTAACCTTCTGACTATATTCATTCACTTAACTAACTTTTTTGGTAAGTAAACAATGGCAGACAGCCTTTCATCTGAGTTAGAGTCTCTGGCATTTGCCCCTTTGGGGATCTTTCTATTTTTCTTTTTCTGTAGACTGTAGCTAATTATACAGAATGTTTTTCAAGTAAATCAGTGGTTCCAGGTGGTTCTTGGATAGGAGCCCTGTAAAAAAAAAAGGCTATAAAAGGCCACATATTTCTCTTATAAGTTTCCAACTCAAGTATTCCCTGAGGAAAACAGCTCCTGCACAAGGGAGGCAAATAATTTTACCTTAAAGAGATGAGTACGTGTGTAACTACCACCCTGCCCCCATATACATCAAAGGACATCAAAATAAGGGGGGAGATTGCCAAAATCAACTTTATTTGAGAAAAACAAGTTCAATCTGCATACTTTTCATATTAGTTAAAATTCTTCTACTGCCAAAAAACCTCCTGCTGTAAATTTTTTTTAAATCTTCCATTATCCTTTAATTGTTTTTATAGCCTTCCCAGAGCTTATAATATTACCACTGTGATTATCTGATAAGATCTCATTCTGTTTACTCTGACCAAGGAGCAAAAGAAAACACACAATGAGAATATTGAGTATTTTGAAGACATTAATTCTTCAGTGAAATTGTCTGCAAGGAAGCTGCGAGGTTCACACATAAAGTCTCATACTCAAAGACTGTAAAAACAGGTTCCCAGACCAAACTGAGGGTCAGGCTGCTATTTCTTGTGGCCCAATAACAAGATGCAGATGAACTGGGGAGGAAGAGAGTTTTATTTTCTGTAACTGGTTACCGGGAGAAAGCCTGGAAATTATCGCCAGAACAATTCCAAATTACAAAGTTTTCCAGAGCTTATATACCTTCAAAGCTATATGTCTACATGTAAGTGGGCATTCATCTAAAGACATAAATGAAAACTTCTTTTAATCTACAACTAGGTCTGAGTCCTGAAGACCTTCTTCTGGAGCCTCGGTAAGTTTATCTAATCTAAATAAATGGGTCTAGGTGCTGAGGTGATTAACCTTATCTGTCTCCTGCTAAATCATAAAGGTTTGGGGAGTTCCTTTAGACCCCAATAAACTTGTTTGCAGAGGCCTAGGGAGTTTCTTCAGATCCCCAATAAAACATGTTTAATCCTAAAAGGGTCCTGTTAAGAATTCATTCGTTATCTTGTCATGCTTCAAGGAGCAGGAAAAGCCTACGCAAAACTCTTGGTGGGCTCTTTGTTATCTTCCAGCCTTTGTATAAGAGCACGGGTCAATCAGCTTCTAATGTTTAACCTGGCTACTCAGTCAGTGTGGGACAGTTGTGATGGAGCCCTGCATTAGTGAGATCTGGCCTACCACAAATGTACTTAGATATGGTATTACAAAGCAAATTTGAGTGCATAATATATAATCATGTATATTATGTATCAGTAATGACTATGTACTGATACATAATACTAACCATTTGGTATTATTGTGTATCACTACATGATACCAATCATTTGAACAATCATGACATAATAATGCCTTTGACCTTAAATTCAGCGATTGACCACCTGCATCCAAGCTGCTCATATATTTTTATCTGATTGACTACATGGATTGTTATTAATCATACCTGGATCTTTTCCTTCATGACATTTGTAAAATATAATTCATCAAAAAAGAGATGCAGACAAAAAAAACCTGGCCAAATCCAAATTTCTAATTCAAAATACACCCTCTCAGTAGTGAAAAAACAAATAACCTGATTTAAAAAAAAATAGACAAAAGACCTGAATGGACAGTTTTTTAAAGAAGACATATAAACAGCAGGTATATGAAAAGGTTTTCATCACTAATCATCAGGGAAATGCAAATCAAACCATAATGAAATATCACTTCACTACCTCTTAGGATGGCTGTGATCAAAAATTTAAGAGGTGAGCGTTGGCAAGGTATTCCCGGGATAAAAAGGGAATGCTCTGTGCTGTTGGTAAGAATGTAAACTCCCATTATGGAAAATGGCATGGCAAATCTTCAAAAAATTAAGAATAGGACTACCATTCAATCCAGCCATCCCACTACTGGGTATATATCCAAAGGAAGTAAAATCAGTATATGGAAGAAAGATCTGCACCCTCATGTTTATTGCAGCATTATTCATAATAGCCAAGTTAAGGAATAAACCTAAATATTCTTCAATAGATGAACAGATAAGAAAAATGTGGTATGTGTGTATATATGTGTGTGTGACACACAATGGATTAATATTCAGCCTTATATGAAGAAAATCCTGCCTTTTGCAACAACACAGATAAAGCTGAAGGACATTACGCTAAGTGAAATAAGCCAGACACAGAAAGACAATATATGTAGAATATTTATATAAACGTTAAAATATAGAAGCAGGAGTTGCCAGGGGCTAGAGGCAGGGAAATAGGGAGATGTTGATCAAAGGATACAAACCTATAGTTCTAAGATGAATAAGTTCTGGGAATCTAAAATATGGCATGGTGACTATAGTTACTAATAATGTATTACATACTTGAATTTGCTAAGAGAGTAAATCTTAAGTGTCCTCACCCCCCCACACACACACACACAAACAGTGGTAAATAAGTGTGGCGACAGATGTGTCAAATCATCATGTTGTATGCTTTGTGTTTGTTTTGAGACAGAGTCTCACTCTGTCACCCAAGCTGGAGTACAGCGGCATGATCTCAGCTCACTACAACCTCCATCCTCCCAGGTTCAAGCGATTCTCCTGCCTCAGCCTCCCAAGTGGATGGGATTACAGGCACCTGCCACCATGCCCAGCTAATTTTTGTATTCTTTTTAGTAGAGATGAGGTTTTACCATGTTGGCCAGGCTGACCTTGAACTCCTGACCTCAAGTGATCTGCCCACCTTGGCCTCCCAAAGTGCTAGGATTACAGGCATGAGCCACTGTGCCCTACCGTATACTTTGAATATATACAATTGTTGTTAGTCAAATGCACCTCAATAAAGCTAAAAGAAAAAAAAAACCCTTCCAATGCAGTTAAAACAGATGGGGAAGAACACACTGCCACAGTGATGAGTCTCTCTTTAAACTCATGACCTGAAACCTCACCTACACCTGGACATGCCTGCCTTCAAGCAGCTATACCATATTCTCAGTTTATTCACTCTGCCTCTCCCCTGTACAACTACATACCTTCTCTCTCCTCTAATCTTCAATACTTGCTCACTCATCCTCACTCTCATTTGATGACCTTTCTTCCTATTTCACTGAGAAGTTGAAGGAATCTGAAGACTATCCACAAGCCCCTAACACTTGGAAGGCTGCCATTAGCCTGCTGAACATACCCTTGTCGGATCTGAGTAAACTGCATTGTTTTTTACTAGCTGGGGAGCCCCACTTACCATCTCCTTCTTATCTTTCTGGAAGTGCACATCTACAAACATCTTTCCAACAACATAAGGGAGGGCACTTTCAATAAAGTTAACACATTTGTCCCATTGAGGCAGCAAAGTTGTGGTCCCCTGGATTACCTGTGGAAGATAATTGATCCAGATTAAACTTCATTTGGATAAAACCCATGGCTGAAAAAAATTCAAACAACCTGAAGAAAACAGTCTACAAAACATTGCATACCCTAACCCATACATATGTGTCAGATAGTAGAGGCAAAGATAAAATAACTGAAGAAGAAGAAAAAAAAATGCTTGTACCCATTATTTTTAAAATTAAATGAAAATGTTTTAGGCCAGGTGCAGTGGCTCATGTCTGTAATCCCAGCGCTTTGAGAAGCCCAGGTGGGCAGATCACCTGAGGTCAGGAGTTGGAGACCAGCCTGGCCAACATGGTGAAACCACATGTCTACTAAAAATACAACAATTAGCCAGGCATAGTGGCATATGTCTGTAATCCCAGCTACTTAGGAGGCGGAGGTGGAGCACTGCGTGAACCCAGGAGGCAGAGGTTGCAATGAGCTGAGATCAGGCCACTGCACTCCAGCCTGGACAATGCAGTCAGACTGTCTCAAAAAAAAAAAAAAAGAAGAAAGAGAGAGAGAGAGAGAGAAAGAAAGAAGGAAGGAAAGAAAGAAATGTTTTAACAGTTAAAATAATACATTTCTCCTTTCTTCCCAATTTTACCCATTAAAAAAAGAATCTGGACAATGGTATCACTTTTCTGCAGTCAGCAGGGAAATGAGAGGATGTTATTCAAGTGTCCAGATAATAGTTAATATCTACTGAGAACTGAAGTTCCACTAAGAAGGTCTAGAATCAATGGGTGATCAAAGTTCCTGCCCAACGAGGGTTTCCTTGCTGAGTAGCAACTCAACAAGGCAGAGCAGGAGAACATGACCCACCATGAACACAGGGAGCATATTTACATTGTGTCACAGCAAAAAAAACCTCTGGTAAACAAGTAAAATACAGATGTAAATGCTTTGCCCATCTGTTGCGATTATACCATTACAATAAAACATTTACAAACAGGTAAGAAGGTTCCCAAGCAGGATCTGGAAGGCTCAGAGGTTTATTCTTGGGGATAAAAGCAGAGACATAAATATAAAGTTTCCCTTGGAAGTTGGGGTGAAGGCAGGGAGGAAGGGAAGCCCTGAAAATGGTGGCCAGAAGTGTCTTTTAAACAATGTTAGAGCCAAGTTGTTTCGAGGAATGGGATTAAGGCTTAATTTCATCTATTCTTCCTCTGATTTCTGATAACCTCTCTCAGAGGTAAGGGGTGAATCTATTTTTAAAATCTGTAGAGAAAGAGATCCTATAACCTTCTTCATCAATTATATTTAGCACTTCGTGCTCAAGAAACATCCCCTCATACCTAACCTTAAATGTTCACACACTGCTTCTTACACCTCTCTCTCATTGTCTTCACAGTAGGGGTGGAAAGCAGCTGGGCATCATCTTTTATGTGATTCATGGGAGTTAAAAATACACACATGCACATGCACACACACACACACACACACAATCTACTTGTTTTGTATCTTAATCCATTGTTATGACCTAAATATATATATATATGTGTGTGTGTGTGTGTATGTGTGTGTTTTATGCTGTTCTCTGTAAAAATACTTTTTTTTTTTTTTTGAGACAGAGTCTCCTTCTGTTGTCCAGGCTGGAGTGCAGTGGTATCGTCTCGGCTCACTGCAGCTTCTGCCTCCTGTATTCAAGCAATTCTCCTTCCTCAGCCTCTCGAGTAGCTGGGACTACAGGCATGTGCCACCATGCCCGGCTAATTGATGTATTTTTCATAGAGATGGGTTTTCACCATGTTGGCCAGGCTGGTCTTGAACTCCTGAACTCAAACAATTTGCCCACCTGGGCCTCCCAAAGTGCTGGGATTACAGGCATAAGCCACTGCATCCAGCCCTAAAGTAACTTTATGTGCTAGTGACTTTATAGGGTCAAAGCATATCCAAAATAACTGCACTACAGAGAATGGCCCACTAAGACTTTCTATACTTACTAGTTCCTCTAATAACTAAAATTTCTCTTGAATGAAATCATCACTTATAAGATTCACCATTCACTTAACTTTAAACTGATAAAAAAATAAAAACTGTTTTAAAGATACAAAACCCTTACGGCCTCTAGTGGTAGGAGAATTAGTCAGACATAAGCCTCAAAAACAAAGATGAGAACATAGGTATAAACTGGGAGGCAAGCAAGGGTGGGAGAGAAGCAAAGATTAAAAAGCCAGGTGAGGCCTGGAACAGTGGCTCATGCCTTTAATCCCAGCACTTTGGGAGGCTGAGGTGGGAGGATCACTTGAGCTCTGGAGTTCAATACACACCTGGGCAACATGGCGAGACCCCATCTCTAATAAAAACAAACAAAGAGCCAGGGAGAGAAAAAGAGCAGGGAGAGGAAAACCATCTCAGATGGTTCAGTGAGGTCTCAGAGAAAACTAAATTGGAGCCTCTTGGACCTAGCAAAGGATAGATTCAAAGACGGAAGGTACAGGTAAAGTTTAAGACCAAATTATTTCCAAATTGAAAATGAAACTCTGCCATCTAATACCATGATCGTGCACATTTTAAATATTCAGAATACTGAAAATAAAAGATAGTTACAAATACATCACAAAGAAATGTTAAAATTATAATTACAGTGACCCAGTTAAAAACTCTGGGGAAAATGGGAATACACTGATAAGACGGAGAAGTTTGAAAACAATGTGTGGCCTCACGTATTTCCCTAAATACCTTTATAGAAACCATCAGAGTAGAGCTTGAGTGTTCCTGGCCATATGTAATTTATACCTAAATAAAAATAAATAAGGCACATACACACACACATACACACACACACACACAATAGAGCTGGGGCTACAAACTCTGTCTAATCCCTAAAGGTGATTTTTATTGGATCAGTTAATATATGGACTATTCCAGCATAAAGTTATCCAGTGATGGAACATTGCAACCTTCTTAAACTTACCCTTGAGAATTCCAGCCATCTATACTGAAAGCGCCTGCTAAGGTTTGGAATTCTGGAATAAACCATTCTCCACACCAAATAGTTGGCAATGGTCCTGTTAACAGAGAGAGATGCCCATTTATTGTATTTTAGGTCAATATCTGATACTCTGCAGAGCACCTTAACAAAAACAGTTGGCAAAGCTCCACTGAGAGGCCTCTTGCTCATACAGAAACGCTGAACTTTCATTTGAGAAACTACATAAGATGCTACAACGTCAATAAGCACGACCAAAATTGTCTTGCTTTTCACCACCGAACAGAGATAGATGAAGGAAAGGTTCCAGCCCCGGCCCTCAGAGTGAACATTTTGCTTTCACTCTCAGGGTATAGAGTCCACTGTTACATAGCCTTTCAGGTCTGGAAATTGTGAGTACCTTCACATTACAGCAGATCCTCAAGTAGCATCATTTCATTCAACATCCTTTTGTTTTACAGTTGATAAGAAAAAAAAATCAATTCTGGGCCAGGGTCACTGTCTGTGTGGAGTTCGCACATTCTCCCCAGGTCTGCACAGGTTTTGTCTGGGTACTCTGGTTTCCTCCCACATCTCAAAGATATTCCTGCTAGCTTAATCGGCATGTCTACATGTTCCCATTGTATGAGTGACTGCACCCTGCAAAGGGACGGAGTCCGAGCCAGGGATGGTTCCCGCCTGGTGCCCTGAGCTGCCTAAATAGGTTCCAGCACCTGCAACCCTGAACTGGAATAACTGGGTTAATCATTATCTTACTTGCTTTTATTTGTCTTTCTTAAATGTATGTATAGCTAGCATGTATTCAATGTTTAATACTGGAAGTGTTTTGGTCTTCATTTAGATGCTTGGTGATGTTTTTGTGAGCAAGAATATGCCATAGGAACTTAACTCCTGTTTACATCAATTAGCCTATGGTCAAAATTGCTTTCATTATCCGTCATTTTACTTAAAGTCACAATTTCCAAGAACCTATCAATGATGTTAAGTGAGGACTTACTGGATTAGGTGACTTGATAAAATGCCTATGTATTCTTTGCCTTTGGAAACTACAGCAAAATAATGCCAAGTATCTAATTTCGCACCCTAATCCTATGCTTACTAAATACGTGAGTTTGGACAAGTCACTTAAGGTCTCTGATTTTATCTTTCCTTACCATACAATGGGGTTGACCCTTCCTTATAAGGTTGTTGTAGGATTCAAATAAATAACAAAATGCTTGATAAAGAGTAAATTTCTAGGATTTATTGTCTTTCACTTCCAAATATATGAGCAACCTCATAAGCTAAAGATACATATTTTTTTTAAATCTGTTACATTTTAAGGGTTGCCTTTTTCTATGAGCAAAAGATGACCAACCTCAAAAGAATGTTTGATCTGAGTTAATTCCTAACTCAATAGTGATGATTGATTTTTAATGATCCATTCCCCTCCCAGCTGTGCCATTACCATGGTAACTAATCACACACAATCCTGAAATGGCTTTCCGGTCAGCCAATCACATGAGAGCAGTATAACATGACGCTAAAAGCCCATCAAGAACAAACCACTCTCTCATTTGTATGGCATTCTGACACAGTGGACATGCCCTCCTACTAGTAAAAGGCTTTCCAGCATACACACCCAATACACAGATGTTTAATTTCTATAGAGATATACTAATAGACTAATAGGAATACTTTTAACAAATACAAAAACAGAAATTTCCAAAGATGAGGTAAAATTAACTTAAAAAATCTTCAAAAGTCATTAATTAATCCTTCAAACACCATTGGGTTAATTCTTCAAGACATGGAGTCCATATAGGATTTGGTTAATACAACGGTGACAATGAATATAAATGCACATTTCTTAGAGTCTTCTTGACTATTTCAAAAATTTATGACATGTCGTTGTCAAATTGCCATTGTCCTTCTTACTGTTAGGCCACCATTGTATTTCTCTTGTCATCTGGCTAACCAACATCCCGTAACAGCCTCAGAGAAGGGGCACTTCTGCCAGTTTCTAACTGTTCTCTTGTGCTTACATCAACAGCAGCAATATCAATTCTTGTTTCTCTGCAAGAATGTTTTAAGTGACTTAGCTACATTGTAAGTAGTAAACTAGATAAATTACATAATAAAATTAATAAATCTATAGGTATATGCAAACAGCTTAAGAATTTTTTTTGTTTTTGAGATGGAGGCTCATTTTGTTACCCAGGCTGGAGCGCAATGGCACCATCTCCACTCACTGCAAACTCCGCCTCCTGGGTTCAAGCATTTCTCCTGCCTCAGCCTCCTGAGTAGGTGGATTTACAGACACCTGCCACCACACGTGGCTAATTTTTGTATTTTTTGTAGAGATGGGTTTCACCATGTTGGTCAGGTTGGTTTCAAACTCCTGACCTCAGGTTATCTGCCCTCCTCAGCCTCCCAAAGTGCTGGGATTACAGGTGTGAGCCACTGCACTGGCCAAGATTATTTTTAACATACTGAATGAAAACAAGCCTGTGAGGATGACAGTGCCCCTCTCACATGTTCCATATGGATCACATTAAGGGTCCACAGCCAGTAATATAGAACTCAACAAAGCCTAATTTTTTTTCTTTATAGGGTTTTATTTCAATAGCTTTTGGGATATAAGTGGTTTGGGGTTATATGGATACACTGTATAGTGATGAAGTCTGAGATTTAGTGCACCTGTCACCCAAGTGATATACACTGGACCCAATCCGTAGTTTTTTATCCCTCAACCCCTTCCCAACCTTCCTGATTCTGAGTCTCCAAAGACCATTATACCACTCTTTTAAATTTAAAAAATAAAGATATACAAGTTCTAAAATGATCTTCTCAGACCCAATAGATCTTGTTAGGGTATGCATATTCCCCTAAGATACCACCACCCTAATCAGCAAAGTCTAGCCCTTGCCCATCTCTGCTGAGGCCACTATAATAAATGCAGTTTGGGGTCATTCCTTTGGCTCCTTTGCCTACATCTCTACTCCTTAATAGGACAAGAGTGCTCACTGAGCACTCAGTGTTGGCCAAGTATTGTTCCAGATGCCATGAGGAATGTAAAGAAATAAGAACCCAGCACCTACAGTTAGAGAACTCAAAATCCAGCTGGGAACACACGACTTTAGACGTCAGCTTGTTCATGCAATCAGTTGTTTAATTGAAGGGACACACTGTAAGTATATAACTGATCTTTCTTTCATTCACTCAATCAATACATCCTGAGCACCCACATATATACTACGTGATGGGGAGATGGAGAGTTCCTGATTTCCTGAAACTTTTTGCTGAGCAGGGGACATGAGGCAAGTATATAATGATTTGGTAGACCCTAATGCCCAAAAGTACGTGCCAGACACTTCACTGTAAGGACAGCACACTTCAGACTGAGGGCTAAGAGCAAGCTACATGAGAGGAGCATGCTGAGAGGTTAAAATGCTATGATGTTGCAAACAGGAACGTGAACTCTAGACAGGCTAAACAATGGTGGAATCAGCTGACGTGTTGGAGAGGATGGTGAGCAAGATTATCACTCAAGATGTGGGAAGAAAGGCCAGCCACACTGGGAAGATGCAGACAGCAACCAGGGTATGGTGTCTAGCACATCAATGAGCCAATCCTGGTCCTAGTGCAAGGACTGTAAGTTCTTTCTTTCTAAAATATCGCTTGCCAGGTGTGTGAACCATGCTGGATCCATAGGTGGAGATGAGGAGGTCACCAGCCAGCAGATGTCCTTTCATGAATTCAAAAGATATTCCCTCAAGGTGGTGATGAGCCTGAATAACTGGGGAAGTTGTTGGGGGCCCGATGGTGGTGGTGGAAAAGGCAGTATGGCAAAGGACACTGGGGTTTGAGACATAGGAACCCTTCCAGCTCACCTGAAATCATCCCTTTTAGGGATCTCACATTAACTATGATCTTCACAGTGCTGCTATAAGAGAGATGTTATTACACCCATTTTATATATGAGGAAACTCCAGGCTTAGAATCATTAAGTAAACTCACAATCACATATTTGGAGAGTCTCAAACTAGTACAATCACCTGGGGAAGTTTTTAAAAGACCACATGCCTAGGTGACCCCAGGCCAATTAAGTCACAATCTCTAAAGTGGGACCCAGCATAAATATTGCTTATAAATCTCCTCAGCTAAGCCCAATATGAGGCCAAGTTGAAGAACCACTGCAATAAGGAACGGATGCCGGACCAGACCCAGGTGTGTCTAACTCTAAAGCCTGCACGCTTTTCCCTATGCCACACAGTGATAAATTAAAGCCTCTAATTTTTTTTTTTTTTTTGAGACAGAGTTTCACTGACTCCTGTCACCCAGGCTGGAGTGCAATGGCATGATCTCGACTCACTGCAGCCTCAACCTCCTGGGCTCAAGGGATCCTCCTGCCTCAGCCTCCCAAGTAGCTAGGATTACAGGCATGCGCCACTGTGCCCAGCTAAATTTTTTTTGTATTTTTGGTAGAGATAGGTTTCACTATTTTGCCAGGCTGGTCTCAAGCTCCTGCACTCAAGCGATCCGCCCAACTCAGCCTCCCAAGTTGCTGGGATTACAGTCATGAGCCACCACACCTGGCCAAAGCCTCTAATTTAGCTAAGATTTAGCTAAGATTTCCTGGCCAGTCACAGAAACCCCAACACAGTCCAACAGAGATGCTTCACAGAAATCTATGGGCACAAAAAGAATAATGAGGACTTCCTGGCCAAGGCATTACAAAGGTGATAGCATAACAACTAGACCTCTGCGAGCCGGAAGCTGGAATGCTGAGGAGTTCACACAGTGAGATGATGGCACTGATGAGTTTCTTCAGTCTGTTATAAATACACTGACAGAATGCTATGGAGCATAGTTCTGGAGTGCTAATATTACCACGCCAGGAACAGATATAACCATAATGACTGAATCACTTTCACCTAATGTTCAGATACATCAAAAAGCAAAAATCAGCCTCAGCAACAGTCCTTGAAAATAACACATAATATCCTTTTTTTCCAAAAAGAACACATTTTCAGCCATATGGTAATTTCCCCAAGTGGCAATAAATAAAACAGAGAAAGGCAAAGCATCTCAGAAGAG